CAACTCTGATAACGAACAATGGGGAACCTAAGATTACAAATAGTTTATTCCTTATTCAAACAAAGTACAGTGCATTATGAGTGGCAAACACTCATTACTGGGACACATTTTCTTCACCCATATTCGGTGCTTTATTGTACATGTGTCTCTAATGCTAGTGTTGCGAGAAATCCATTGCCGTTTTTTCAGACGGTTAAATTTTAAACGCACTGAACACAGTGTAGCATCTTAATTTAAGACAAAACTAAAAAATGCCATCCAATATCGATGATTGAGTTTTCTAGAACAAGAGAACATGAATAAGGTGTCACCGCGTTACCATGGGACACTGACGAAAACGAAAGTTCCGACGAAGTCACCCTACTAATCGAATGGTAAGAATCAATCAATACACATATAGAGGTCTATGTTGAAACAATTGAAGAAAAATGAAACGAAACTCAGTAATGCTCACCTTCATACAAAGAAGATCTCTATAAACAGTTCTCTGTCGGTTAAATCGAGGGAATTACACCTGTGCCCTGCATCCGATCTCGACAGCGGCACTGCATTACATGTTATTAGAATGGGACACGCGCCAGTTTGAGCTGGCTTTTCAGTGTGCAAAAAGAAACCATTCGTGTGTGAGACGTCATCAGTCAGTGAGTATGGAAGCAGGTCAGTATGCAGATCGCTATCGATATCGAACATTTTTTAACGGGGCATTTAAAACTGATATTAGCATGGACTTTTATGGAGTTTTAATACGGAAAGATAGGATTAGAGTAATTTTTCATTGGGCTGGGACACGGCATGTAACGTTAGTTACGGTAATTTTGTGATCATTTTTAAGTGACTTCAAATAATTTTTTATTTAAATAACCATTTGCACATTCTGTTTATTATATCGCCTTGTAGTACGTGTCTTTCCTGCTTCAATAATCCATTCAAAACCTAAACAAACTATTCCTAAAAAGAGGTAGGGTCGGAATTCCTCAAAAATGGACGCCATTTTTACGGCAATTTCGATATATTTTCTGCTTTTCTCTTATTTTTCTTTTATAACAGCACCGTCCTTGCTCATGCAGCTTCTTTGATTTGTTATTGAGACATACAAAACGATGTCTTGAGAATTTGGTCGGCTATCTAAATTTAAATTACATTCTTGTTATGCCATTCTCCCCCCCCCCCCCCACCCCCGCAGTGCACCACTAGCAAAGAATGACAACTTTAGATAGCTCTTTCAATCGTATTTATAGGGCTTCTTGCATAAAAGAAAACCTTGATTGAAAAATGACAATTATAGTCCCAAAACGCTGATATTACGTCACTCGTGTTACACTGCGACTACAAGCTTTGGAAAATTGTCTTGTCCATAACCTTCAGTTAATAGGAAATTAAATTAGCTGCATTAATTTTGGACTTTTTCATTAATATCCTTGACGCCTTAACAGTGTAGTACATTTATGGCACTTAATCTCTATTAGATGAAGTGAGTAAATATAAAGGTAGGCCTAAAATGTATCAGAAAAAATCAAGATTATTGTAACGCCTTACATAGTGATAGCTTTCACACCAGTGAAAAAAATCCAATATACATGGCACTTAATCACTAAAATGGTGAAGTGAGTCAATGAAAAAGGTCAAATGTACCAGATAAAAACAAGCTTCATTTACGTTTACATAATGATAGCTTTCAACTAGTGGTAAAAACCCAATATACCCGTGTACTTAACAACAGAGAGCTGCAAAGCGAAAGTGGAAAAATGCGTTTTTTTTAAGGTACACGTAGCTCTTAAATACAAAATATTTTTAACAGTATAGTACCTTTCTGGTGCTTTCCGTCCAGCTTTTCAAGCATGAGACCGTAAAACGTAGGGAGGTTGAATGACTTGTCTTTTGGCTGGTAGAAACTGAAATTGATTGAAAAACATAAAACATGAAGATTTTTCTATCTCTTCGTGGGAACATTTCTCATATATTTGAGCAATTAAACGTTTTGGTAATAAATAAATAAATAAATAAATAAGATATTCTGTCACCAATCCCTATTCATCATTTAAATCTTTATCTATTTCATAGTTTTGAGTTAATAGATACACAGTTTCCTTTTACAATTGTCTGCATTCACAAGCGATCTACTTGTAGAATATTAGAAAAAGGGCGTTCACGATTACTTCTCACCAGTTAAATTTTAATTTCACGAAATATTAGAACTGCTCCATATACAATAAGTCTTACAAAATATCTAATTTGAGATATTCGATGAACAGTTTTCCGCCGTTTTAGATATTTACCTCCCAACTTGCGTTTTGCATAATTTGCAGTAACATTTCGACCTGACGTAATGCTGGAACCACATCAGTTTGGTCCGCGTCTGTAAAAGTTATTGTTGATACGTGCACTATCATGGGAATTTAGAATAGACGCACAGACAACAATTACATCATCACGATATACTGTAATTCTAGAGAATGGCAAATAAAATATACATAAACAATTTTAGTTTCTTTTTATAGCCAAATCAGTTGCTTGAATAATATAGACCAAGATAACATACAGTATAGGGTGTGAAATGGCTTATCCATGCAGGTTCTGATTGATATTGACAGAGTCATCCTAACCCCATTTTCAAGTGGAAAAAAATAGATTCTGAGCCCTCCTAAGTAGGCTACGTTTTTAAAAGTGATATTTTCCAAGGTAAAGAGTGGGATTTTGGGGGACGAGGGGAGGGGGAGTAGATTGGGTGGCACTTCTTTCTTGATTTATCCGATCTTATATTTAACGTTACCTTTTTTTCCATGTATACGTTGCAGTTTTCCTTTACGCACACTATATCGCGCTTGCACTCTAAAAAGAAAAGTGGGTCAGTAAAAAAATATAATATACCAGATAAACGCAAGGCTACGCTTATAACAAAACCAGTTGCCAGCGACGGTTTACCTAATCCCCCTCCTTTTTTATGAACTCTTTCGAAGCAGAACGATTTTACCTGCAACACACACACACACACACACACACACACACACATAACAGGCCCGTTTTGTCAGAAAAAGGTCCATTTTGGGTAAAATTTTATCTAGGTACACACAAGTTTCATTGTAAAAGGTCCACTATTTCAGAAAAAGAACCCCCCTTTTGAATTTGCTGGCTACGGGCCTGTATAAGCTGGATAGTTTTACTGCTTAGTCTACTCTTTCGCAGTGGCGTCCACGGCTCAGCGATTCGGTCTATTTATTTACCGGCCAGCGGCACGATCTACCGTCCCTCGGCTCAGCAGTACCTAGTCTCAGCAGCCCACGGCACGATCTACCGTTCGTCGGCTCGGCAGTACCTAGTCTCAGCATGAGCAGCCCACGGATCACGACCCGACAGCGGCACGATCTACCAGACCACAGCTCAGTGACTTAACAACATCAATTTTCCATTTATATCTCTTTATTCGACATTTTCGTGCAGTTTTTTTTTTCACGTCACATTAAAAATTATTATTTATTTCATTTTTGCTCTTGTTGTTTTTGATCTCCGATAACATCCTCAACACCAGTATTAATGGTGTTATTGCAATTTGACGTAAAAACAGAGAGATGCAAAGCGAAAGCAGAAAAATACATCTGTTTTTTCCCCCGAAAAGCTGCCACGACCTTGAACGCTACAAAATCTCTTAGATTGACTCTTCTATAATATGTGGCGTATTTACACCAAGGTGGAAGCATGTTTTAAATGATGACACGTGCCTTTTTATGAACTTGCTTAAGGTGTCTTTTTAATTTTTCCTTTTCTTTCAGTTTTACTGGCCACGAATACGTTTACATAATTCTCTACGCAATCACCCCTACTACAAACATCATCTAGTAATGTTATCCTTTGAAGTGGTAATATACTATGAAGTATCTTAACACACGTATCTTAACTTGAGATAGGGGCCTATAGGTTACAGGGCACGAAAACGTTTTTTAAACATTACTTACTTTCGTCTGGGTCGTAGAAGGTTTTCACGGGCAAACAATACACGTGAACGTCTGGCAAACATGTTTCCACATCCCTCCCCTGTTCCTGCTCGGGCTCTAGAGCCACGCCCTCAGCCTGGAGCTGTTCCACAGACATAACAGCACAGGTTTTAGCCAGGGTCGCCCCGCATCTGTGGCAATTAAGGTGGACCTCTGAGACAGACAGAGAAAACTCGTTGACATGGCATGTGTTTTAGCGAATATTGATAATTTATGTTGGATATAAAGTTTGGAGCATAGTGATGGGAGAGAGAGAGAGAGAGAGAGAGAGACCAAGCAACCACAGATCAGCAACTGATACAGACCGCCTGTCCCTTCGAACAATACCTTTTCCTTCCGGGTGGTAGCAGGCACGAGAAAACGAGCTAATCGATATACTTTCTTCGCTTTCTTGATTTTGTCCACTGTCGACCGAAGATGCGTCTAACGGTCTTGCTTTCTCTGCGTCCATGTTGCCGGCTCTCCGCGTCGTCAAGACTGAGTCTAAAAATCAGATCACGTGCAGTGACTTTCAATATAAATGGAGCTATTTTTGTTTGATTACGTATACGGTATCACCCGGTTTAACTAGGTCGCCAGTTTCCGTGAGGAATTAATGTGCAAATGTACGATGTGAAGAGATTTTGATTGGCAAGTACATGCTACTTGAAAAAATGCAATTTGATACAATTGCCAGTAACCATCATTGGATTAATGGGCAACAAGAAGGGTGAGGGTTGTCAAAAATATAATAATAATAATAATAATAATAATAATAATAATAATAATAATATTTCCCCAAAACTCGGACAAGTTGAAAGCCTTATTAAGCCCTTGATCTATAACAGCAATACAGTAGGCCTACGTGCGTTAAAGTTTATTTCGTGTCGGAAAGAATGAAAGTAGCCTACTAACGTCTGTGGGGCTTGTAGCCACACCAGGACACGCCGGCCTCCCAGTTCATGGCATTAAAGGGGCTCTGTACGTTTTGCATACGCCTATTTCGTCTTGCCGCCCTCTGCCCACTTTAGAAATTATTCTATTAAAAAGTTTGTCCTTAACTTTTTCTCTTTACGACATTTCCTGCTACTACTGGTAGGCCTACTACAGATAGTAGATAACCAATTTCTGATCTTAGAGTTAGGGTCAGTCCAATCAAGGAGTTATAACTCCTTGGTTCAATATCCAGATGAGAAGCTGAAAATCTGGTATCTAATTAACCCATTACAGTGACTTCATATTTGCTCCGTAACACTAGTCCCGCGGCCATGCTGGAGGGAATGAACGACGGGGAATAGTAGCGGCAATATAGGTGAACCAAATAAAATATAATAAACTTCATATTGCGATCAAGTACACCAAAGGGAAAAGGATATATACAAGCTGAAGCTTCAGCTGATCAGCGGGATCGACCGATATGAACTCAAGACAGTCTAAAAACGTGAAATCCTACCAAATGCTACTTATCCAACATCGTGTTGTCAGAAGATAGTTCAGTTATCTTGTAGGCCTACTTCATTTTTCTTGTTCATTGGGTAATAACAGTTATAGTTTGAGAGAGTTTAATGTATAATCATAAGTTTAACCTTACATAGTAGCAACTTTTTTCATAAAGGATAGATATAAGGAGAAATTTGAGCTGATCATCAGGATAAACCCTTGTGGACTCAAGGAAGAATGTATGCAGGATTGTCTTATGACATGAAATATTGCTGTCAGTTATGACTTATCTCTACATCGTGAAGCTGTCAGAAATTATTTCAGCATTCTTGTGCTTCATATTGGTTCATTAGAAAGTACATGTAACAAGACTGTTGTTTGAGAGAGTTTAATATTCACCATGAATGCAACCATTCATATAAGCAACATATTGTTAGGATTTTATTATTATTCAGTCATTCACAGAAGCAAGGCATTTTTCACACTTATGTATTTATGATGTTCAATGTAAAATAACAGTAATTCAGTTCATGAATGTATCTTCATTTCTGCAACCATTTGCTTAAACATATAGGAAAAGTGCACATTTTGTATGAATAAAAGTGAACATGAAATGCCGAGTTCTGAGTGTCGCTTCAATTAAATAACTCCTGTCATGCACTGGATTTCACTCTCCTGATGTTCAGATCCTGTCTCCTCAGCTGGTCACAAAGATCTAGGAATATTTTTGCTGCTTCTACCTTGTGTGCCATCTAGCTGCCTTTCGTACCTGTCATCAAAAGCTTCCTTTTTTTTATGATTTACTTGCACCCAATCAGTGTGGCTTGGTGGGAAATGTCTGATCAATTTCCTAAATGTAAAGTAATAGAAAGATAACAATAGTGATTTTTATTTATATTGTAACTTACAACATTATAATTGAAAGTAGCAGAATTTAACATTTTTACAGAGGAAAGTGCAAATTCATATCATGAGGTTATATGTCAATTACACCTGAGGTAGAATTTACTTGCAAAATAACATTACTTTTATCACTACACCAAATCGAAAATTAAGCCACTAACTTCCAAATACACTTCATACAGGTAATTGATTTAATTGGCCCAGCTCAGCTGTGTACAGTACAAAATAGCCTTGACACTAATTGGCAATAATGCTAACCAGGTATTAAAGAGGTAGGTGACAGCCGATAAAATCTAGAGAGCACCGTAACTGATAACAAATTACACCAAAGCAATAGGTGAGTCTTCATTATAAAAGTCGAAACCCTGCCTGGGTATTTCCACACGTTTTAACACATTAACACACCCAAACGTACACACCTAGGTCTTTGGTTTTCTACTGTTTTTTCTTTTATGGTTAAATCTGCACAGCTGGCTCTTCATTCTTTGCTATAAAATAAATTAGTTTTATGCTTTACTTTTCCGAAGAGTCTTGATTCAAAGCCACCTCGCCGTCTCTCCTCCGTTTATGGTTTTAGTTCCTTCACCTTGGATTGTTACCACCGCAGGCAGTCTGTTATCTTCTCTCGATCAAATACCCTGCAGTAACTCATCATTTTGCTCAGTTAAATATCAAAGAAAATACAGGAAACGAAAATTAAACTACAGACATGGCTTGTTCTTGCGCAGCAGACGATTCCGGTCTCCCTCCAGTATGGCTGCCGTTTGTTTTGATGACGCAGGCTCTAATGGGTCAATAGCTCTCTAGATCAATTGCTACATCGGTGAATAGTTTTGCCAAGACGCAACTATATTACTGTGATACTTTTGACACAAGGATGAACAATTCAATCATTATTCTGATAGGTTTTTCACGCTGATGATACAATGCACCGATTACGTTTAAAGGATCATAATTAAAATCCATTAATGATATTTGTAACAATTTTGACCAATTTTTAACTTCACCTCTTGCCTGGGTCTATTCCCGCCATTTTGAGAGGCGAATGTTTTTCACGAAGCAGTAAAGTAGAAGTACGGTATATAGTCTAATATCTGGAAATGAGTGATGTTCTGGAATATCCCGATGCTCTTCAGGAGGTTCGGGGGGCTATGGTAAGTTAAGTTGTTTACAAAGTGGTTCTTAAATTCGTAATTTACGAGAAGGCCGGCGAGGATCATTTTCCAGTCGCATGCTGCACTACTACTAGTAATACTAGTTACTGCATGCACATTGTTCATGTAACGTTACATGTTCACGTTAACCCTGACCAACATTTTTAGTAAAACATGGGTTTGTAGTGTTTGAATTAAAAATTAAGAAGCGATCTTTTTTTTACGACACATCGTGTATTTGGATGGATGTTGTAGCTACTCAAATTAGTTTCAATCCATGTACTTTTTTTTGGTTTAAGAATATGCATGACGACTTTTGATGGAACTCAATGCTTCAGCCAGGACCAGGGAATTCACTGATTTTAGGAGTCCATATGTTAACCCTGACTCATACTTGGTACAATGCTGGAAATACAGTCTTGTAAACACCACCTCAATTCATTGACATTTAATTGTACCACCAGCGTTAGCGCTGGCGGTACAACTGGTTTCGGTCCCGTCCGGA